TTGTTCCCTGAAGGACTGAAGTGTAGGTACACACGCAAAAACCTGAGGAGCTGGAAACTACTGCTGGGCCATATTTCACAAGCAATTCAACCTACCTTCAAGTATTTCCTAAAGAATAATGACTCTTAAGGCAGTTGGATATACCAGGAGGTATACTATGCCATTTTTCCTCTTTCTTCTTGATGACAATCACAGAATTAGAAAACTAAGAGGATGGCAAGAAGTGAGAAAGAAAGACCAAATTTTGCCATATGGTTTTGCAGGAGAAGAGGAAACAGCTTTTTTTTTTTCCCCCTGACACATTGTTCCAAAGAATCTGTAACTAACAAACCAAGCCAGCACATTGCTGGGTTCTGTAGCTCTGTGACTCAGAAGTCACTTTTCTATCCAACATATTAAATGTCAAGTAAAATATATCCGATAAGAGAGAAGAAATTTCTCCGGGAAGCTTGGCCCTTGAGTGAGTTTCTCTCCTCTGCAAATGAGTCCTGTATTTTGCTGCTGTCTTTCAGGTAGATTGTCAACCTGTAAGAGGTATGACATCTGCCCAAGAGCTGCATTATATATATAAAAAAAAAAAATCGTAAATCATAGAGACCATAACTTAGTCCTCCATAAATCCTCCCCAAAAGACCATTACTCATGGTAAACATAATAAAAATCTGTTTAATTTAAAAAAAAGAAAAAAACAAACAAAACAAAAAACACACGCAGGCCGGGCACAGTGGCTCACACCTGTAATCCTAGCACTCTGGGAGGCCGAGGCGGGCGGATTGTTTGAGCTCAGGAGTTCGAGACCAGCCTGAGCAAGAGCGAGACCCCGTCTCTACTAAAAATAGAAAGAAATTAATTGGACAACTAAAAATATATAGAAAAAACTAGCCGGGCATGGTGGCGCATGCCTATAGTCCCAGCTACTCGGGAGGCTGAGGCAGGAGGATTGCTTGAGCCCATGAGTTTGAGGTTGCTGTGAGCTAGGATGACGCCACGGCACTCTACCCTGGGCAACACAGTGAGACTCTGTCTCAAAAAAAAAAACACACGCAGATAGAAAACAGAGAAGAGAAAGAAAAAGAGTCAGAGGGATATGTTTATGCATTAGTAGTATACAAAATTTGGAGATTAAGAGCTCTGATGCAATGCTTAAAACAGTCTGTAATATACAAGAATGTACAGGTTCCAGGGTGGTCATAATCAAAAAGAGCAGTATTTATTAATATCTATTCTCTGTCATTTGCCCTCATTTCATAGTGCGTTCAGATTAGAACCCCTGATGCAAAAGAGGACTTATTATTTAGAGCTAGTTCTTCCATGCCTCAGGGAAAGAAAGGAATGACGAAAGAGGGAAAGAATTATATGAGAACTACACTTCACTTCTCTTTTTTATAATAGATTGTTTTCTTTAAGAAAAGCATAAGCTATGATTAAAGTGGCAATATAATTGCTGAAATTTTGTGCCTCTAACACCTGCGAAGGAAGCTTGGTGACAAGACACACTCGGCAACCCAATTATTTCATGCAGGTTTTCATCCACCCAGAAAGCCGTCCTCAAAATAGAATGGAACTTTTTCTCCTTTACCAATCTGGGGGGTGCCCAGGGCAAAGTAACCAAGAACCTACCAATATTGTTGATTGGTATTCTCAACAAAAAAAATTTAAATAAAATAAGATCTAAGGAGTTTAACAAACAACTTCCAAGTTTTATTTCAATTACTTTACAGTGCATTCAGCTTATATTATACCATGATGTGAGGCTGAAAACGAACAAGATTTATCCCTAGGGAGATGCAGGTTATTGAGCTCTGTTCCCACAAGTGGGAGGACAGATTAGATAACTGGTCTCTCTAGTTTTAAGGAACATTTTAATTCAACTGTGAAATCATGGGAAAATGAAACAAATTCAATTTGCTCACTATCTAGGAATTTGGGGAGGTTAGATGTATATCCTGAAAATAGGT